TACTTCAGGTGTTTGTTCAGACTGTGGCCGCATATACAGATCATCAGATTGTTTTAACAGGCATAAAACCTTGAGAGATTCAGAAAAGTACAAGGGGTTTACTTTATGTGATCGATACAAATACTGCAAAGAATGTGGTCATCATTTTCCTGTAAAAACAGGCGGTGTAGGACATAAATGTCAGAGAGGGAGGTGCGATCATTGTGGGGATGATTTGGCATCAGACATTCAACATCAATGTTTTATACAGCCCAAAAAACCCTCAAAGCCCCAGACTAAATATGTGTTTTATGACTTTGAAACGCGAACGATTGACGTTAAACACAAGGCCATGTTTGTATGCGCTATTGATTTTGAGGATGATTGCTGGTGTGCCTCAGACGTGGACTGTGTTGACCTCTTTGTGAAAAAATACAGACAGACAAAATATAAAAACTACACATTCATCGCCCATAACGCATCAGGGTTTGACAACTACACGAGAGGTAGCAAAGTTCTTTTTATGCTCGATGTTGCCTACAGACACAGATGGATAGACTCATACTGCTTTCTGCCCATGCGTTTATCTAAAACACCTGCCGCTATGGTGTTTTCAGATTCCCATGCGAAAGGATTCTTCCCTCATCTCTTCAACACTCCTGACAATGTTAACTTTGTTGGTCCACGCCCTGATTTGCTTTTTTACGGTTATGACAACATGTCTGACAGTAAAAGCAAAACTCCTTGAATGGTACGACACAGTTTGCCACAAAACATTGGATTTTCAGGCCGAGCTGAGATCATATGGGATCAATGATGTCGTTGTTCTTCGCAAAGCCTGCTTAGCATACCGCGAGGCATTCATTGGTTGTACTGGTATCGATCCTTTTGATTACACTACACTCGCGTCATGTTGCATGTCTGTATTCAAAACACAATTCCTCTCACTCAACACCTTGGCGTTAACGTGTGACGGCGCGTATGTAAACCAGTACAAGACGTACCCCAGTGTTTCCATGGCTTGAATATGAGGCAATAAAAAACAGCATCGAGATACGTCACGCTCTCAATCACGGTGAAAAACAATTTGGTCCCTATCATGTTGATGGTTATAGTGAACAAAGTGGTACCCGCATCGCTTATGAATTTGCCGGTTGATTCTGGCACGGGTGCCCCAAGTGCTACAATCCTGGCCACAAAAACACTGCGTTCGGTGTTCTCCACAGGCAATTTACTGCTAAAATACACACCCTTAGACAGTCCCACAAGCTTTATGTCAGGATGATGTGGGAGTGTGAATGGGAGGAGGCAAAGAAAACAGATGGGTTTCTTCAGGATTTTTTGAAAGCTTATGAAGCACCAACAAGGCTCAACCCTCGAGATGCCCTGTTTGGGGGTCGACTGCATTACAAAGCTGCTGAGAATGAAAAAATACACTACTTTGATTTCACGTCGCTTTACCCAACTGTGCAAGCCCGTAAATGCTATCCAGTAGGTCATCCTAAAGTAATTTTTCGAGACTTTGAACCGATTGAAAAGTATTTTGGACTGCTAAAATGTACCGTTCTGCCCCCTAGAGGAACCCTGATAGAATAGTTGTCAATAAGGCTGTGAGAAATATTAACAAGCTACTTCTTAACTCTCTGTGGGGACATTTTTCCATGCGTGAAAACCAGGCTAACTGTGAACTAGTGACTGATCCTGAAGTCTTTGCACGTTACATGTTTAGCGACCAGTACGATGTCAGACAATTTGCATTTGTATCTGACGACGTCGCGCTTGTGCAGTGGCGTCATAGAACTGCTCAGTCTGCCAAAACTAAAAATATAAACATCTTCATAGGAGCCATGACTACAGTTTATGCACGTCTTATGCTTTGTGAGCTTATGGACAAGCTTGGCGAGCGTTGTCTGTATGCTGACCCAGACAGCGTGCTGTTTGTGTCAAAGGCAGACGATTGGACTCCACAGACCGGGCCATATTTAGGAGATCTCACCGATGAGATTAATGGAGACACCGGTGGTGATGACTACATTGTTGAGTTTTTGTCTGGTGGTCCAAAATGTTACGCTTACCGCACATTGGAAAACAAAGCAGAACTAAAATGCAAAGGTGTAAAATTAACTTCTCATAATGCATCAGTCGTCACTCCAGATACCCTGATTGATCTTGTACATGAGTTTGTGAATCGTGATGAGACGCAGCGACACGTGATGACAAAATCAGACACTATAGTATGAAATAAAAAGGCTTTCGAACTAAAAAACAAAACAATAGCAAAAAAATTTCAAGTCGTATACACCAAACGCAGAGTTTTTCCTGATCTGAGAACTTTAACATATGGCTATTGAAAAGTCTGTTAGAGAAACAGTTGACTTGGTTTTAGACTACAACACTCTTTTAGTCTGATTGTGTCAGGTCCTTCAAACGTTGTTAAAACTTATTTTGTGAAAATGTTGAGCTCTTTTCAAAACAGATTAAAAACATTTTTTGTGTGTGTTGACGGACAATGTATGGTCATTTATTAAAATTAGAAATGTGAATTTGGTTGACAACTTACTGTCATTTTTATACATTGATACATTGCTACCTGTATATAAAAACAATTTGTTGATTATTGATGATTTAATGATTGATGCTAGCAATAACACTGATTTCCAAAATGTGTTTAAATTTATATGATGCACCTATTTTGTAAGGTGTTTATGCCTAGTTCAGAATTAGTTTTTTTTTAAGGCAGAGTTAACCATACTATTAATTTGTATACTAATTATCTTGTTTTGTTTAAAAACCCCAGAGATAAATACCACGTCATGGCATTGGCTAGACAAATGTTTCCTGGGAAGAGTCTTTTTTTTAAATGGATTTTTCACGACTGTTCCTTACGATTATTTGATGATTGATTTTAAAGACACCTGATGATTTCAGACTCAGATCTGACTTGTTTTCAGACCTGCCTGTTGTGTATGTGCCTAAGAGAATGTAAATAAACACGCCTGACCGCTGTAATGTCTCTGCCTTGTCTTTTCTTTCTAGATAAAATCTTTTCTATTTTAAATGTTTTGTTTTTATCTATAATAAATTTTTGCATCTCTTGCTCATAAAATGTTCCCTGTATTATTTTGCCGTCATAGTCTTTTAACCTGTAAACGGGAGGGTCCCTTGACACGCAATCCTTTACAGTGAAACATTCATCAGTATAATTTTGCTCATAAACTTTTTTAAAAGGGTCACATAGTTTTGAAATTCTTACAGTATCACCCATATTATATTTAAAACAAATTACTCTTTTATCTTTTGTTTTATACAAGTTGTTAAATACGATATCTTCATTGTCTTTTGTTACTCTTTTCCCTCGTCAGTTTTGAATTTTATGCGCTATTCTACCTTCAGCAAAGATATTTTTAAAGGACGTTGTGACGCATTTACCTCTTATTTTTGAAACAACGCCTCCCATACGTGTTTTTGAAAACAAATCTATTATTTCTCATCACCTCCTCCATGATCTTTGTTACAAAGACTGACGCTTCAACGTCTGTGTTCAAGTATTTTATTTCCAACAACATACGCAACATATCCGTCAGCAATGATTACAAGTATACACTTTTCAGAAAATCAGTACAAACACCTATGTTTTTTACAAACCAACGATTCAGTTAAGCAATACATCACATCAGCAACATCGACATATTGTTTTCTGGATAGCGTTAAAACGCACAAAAACATTGATAAATTATAAATAATAATTTATCAATGTGTGAGACGATTTCAAGGGTTCTATCCCATTCTCCCCACTGGACCACAAAGCCGGTGCTGAACCACGTCTCCCACTCTTTAGACGTGATGGGGTAGCCTTTTGTTGCTCTGGGGCACCCATCCTTGCCTTTTGAATGATGGAATCGTCCTTGCACGATCTAAAAAAGATGTAGGATTCTGGGTCGTAGACTTCAAGGTGTGTCTCTACACGGTAGAGCTCTCCTGGCACAGAGCCGCAACATTGTGTGGTATAGACTCCTTTTGAAGCACTCATATCTTTACAGACTTTGTTTCTGAAGTAATTCCAGTCTTTGGCTGAAAAAGTAATGTGCGGTCTGCTTTCACAAAGAAAAATTTCATCAAGCTCTCTTGTATAAAGATGAACTGTTCCATGCTCAAACAAGAATCCCGACATTCTAAAATCTTCCACCGCCCATTCAAACTGAGGAACCCAAGCCTTTCGTTCCAGAAAATCAGCCAATGTTGTTGGGGGAGTCTTCTTTCTAGGAGCCATACTCATTGCAACAGGATCTATAATAATACATTGTTTTGGAGTCGTACTCCTAATTGATTACCTGTGACGTCCATGATTGTGATGCTGCAAAGATGGCGCTGTTGTTCTGCACGAAGATAGCTCTTTCTGATACTCGACCGTGGGTGCCAGCTAAATGAAACTTGGTCGTCAGGGTGGGGTTTTGGGTCTCCGAGCAGACTGGACACGGTCCCCAGTTGACTGGAGTCAGGCAAACGGTCAGAACGGGTTTGGGACTGGGCAGGGTTAGTTTCCATTGTGCACCCACACTTGTTGTACAGCTCACTAGGTCACTGCCCCAACACAGATTCTTATCAGCCATTAACAATATTGAGGGAGAAACAAATAAAATAAATAAATAAAATTGTTGAATATACAGTTGAATTCAATTGAAATAAAAACCCATCAGCTATACACACTATACACCTATAGTATATACATGTAAATATATACAATTATATGGACAAATACATTTATCAAGTGTGGTTAGATCTAAACATATCTATATATATCACACAAATCGTCACATAGGTCAGAGCTTTGGATAGGTAAAAATAGAGTGAGTTGGTCATAAGGCAGAGCACAGGGGGAGAAAGAGACACAATCTAGCTGCTATTCTGAGTGCTCCTGCAGAATCACAGTGGCCTTGAGGGACGAAGAGTGGTAGGGGAGTTCCTTCTGAATACTATTGGTGACTGCTTTGCAGCACCTCCACCCTCCAGTGGCACTGCAAGCACTGCCAGGGTTACAGCCTCTTGGTTCACTCCTTACCTGGGAAACAATGCTCTGCTCTCCACAATCATCCACTGACAGCCAGAGACCAGAGCCACGATGACAGAACGCACATCTAAAAAACAGGGATTTAAAAAGTGTCAGAGTGCCACTTTCAGCATTGATGGATTCAGCTTCACTATCTGTAAGAGACTCTTTGTTACAGTGTGCTATGATTTCTGTGTGTGTGTGTGTGTGTGTGTGTGTGTGAGAGAGAGAGAGACACGGAGAGAGAGAGAGTGAGAGGGGATTTGCTATTGTGTTACTGAACCGATGGAGTTATTTACTTGAGGTTTATTGTATTTGAATTATAGGTGCTCACTCTCTTGCTGCATCTGTAGCATGTCTTCCTTCTATGCTTTAAGAGCAAAAAGCAAATTGGAAATATATTTCCAATTTGCTGTGGTTTGTATGGACAGCTTTAAATGCTCTGTGACGGTTATTTCTACTTCATACAGTCTAAAGTGTTCATATTCAGATCATAACATGTTCTCTGGGTATTTTCTGTATTTTTCAACCTGGACCTGCAGTCAACAGCAGCTAAACAGCACTGCAACATAATCCTTGAGAGCACTTGCACACGAACAAGTACTTCCACTAAAAGGCTTGTTTTTTGCCAGTGACAGGCTATTTAGTTACACCCTATTTAGTTATAGCTACATTAAGCGGAATTAATTAAATCTCAATGATTAATTTGATCAATCTCTTTAGAAGAATTAATCAAAGAAAACACAGATTACAGTTTTTCTCGATTGCTTAAACACATTTCTGGAAATTATGGCTCTTTTTCTCAAAACTCTAAACACTTTTCACCCAATTCCCCAAACATCCTATTTTCAAGTCAAAATGAAACTCTCCACTCAAAACCATTCAATCTTGCTGAAAAACCAAATTTTACCCTCAGACACAAGCCCTCAAAAACACACACACTACAACACAGTCTTACACATTGCTGAGATAAATTCAAAACAATACTACAAAAACTGGTTATGAGTAATGTTGCTTATGGTTCTCCCCCTCAAAAACCTTTTCACATGATGAACCCAACAAAAGACACAGAAAATGTAAACATTTACACATTTGTTATTCCTTAATGCAGCTATTCCCAAAGTGTGGTGTCCCTGGGGGTGCGTGAGCTACCTCTACGACAGGAAAAATGTATTGGTGGTGTAATAGTGTAATAACTACAACAATTATTTTTTGTGGAATTTTTCATGAAAAACTCTGACCTTTGTCGTGTTAGCACACAAAGCAGGTTTCCTGTTGGCTGGACTCCAGCAGCTCAGGTACAGCTGCGGTTATGAGGTGTTCTCCTAGGTGACAAGTTGGCTTTGTAGAATAAAATATTTGACTGTACGAACTTCTTCAGCTAGGCTTCTAATTCCATTGGCTAGATAAACTCAAAAGAGAGAAACAACTGCTATGCTACGCGCAAGACTACATGGTACACAAACAAAGTAACAAAGCAACTCTTTAGTTTAGTACATTAGGCATTTAAAGACTTGCGCGACAATAAATTATGCGCTGAATTTAGATGGAGCACAAAAAAAACTTAAAGAAAGATGTTCCAAAAAACTAGAAAAGAGTAACAAACATGAGCTCGAATAGGATTGAGATCCAGCCTCAACGTGGATGACGGTGAAGCCCTTTTGTCAACTAGCCAGAGAAGGAGTTTTGGACATGGAGGCTGAAAATCATGTTGTTATTTCATGTCATTTAAAAATAAAAGTTGGGTTAAATGTCAAGACAACAGGTGTTGAGAAAGGTTAGCTGGATTTCTTATTGGTTGTCCTTAATTCAGACCTGGCTCAATCTCACACCACATGTTAGGTGAGAGTAAAATCTTAATGTGTGTGTACAGCTTCTTCTCTTGGCTGAAACAATCAAAAAGAATGCATATGATTCTTAACGTCTTGCTCTGACTCCGTTATCGTGACAAGACCTGTGTTTTCTCAGGGGGAAGCTCTTGTCTTGCCTGGCGAGTCTCCAAATTGACACATTTAGTATCAGAGAAAGGAGAAGTTAGTTTTCCAACGAAGGTTAAAATCAAAGGCAACTGGACTTGGTTGAAGATACTGGAAGACGTTTCGTCCCTCATCCAAAGGACTTCTTCAGTTCTTCAGAACAGTATCTTCAACCAAGTCCAGTTGCCCTTGATTTTAGCCTTCGTTGGATAACTATGACCTGGATGACTGAGAATCTTCATAGACATCGAGAAGTTAGTTTGCAGTTCTGAAGAGCCTCAGGACTGAATTGGATTTCTACAGTCATTAAAGCTGCAGTGTGCCTGTGAATGTGGGAGACATGTATTCAATTCAATTCAGTTTTATTTACATAGTTTATGTTTATTAGTTATTATTATTTACATATACATTATTTACATATTATTTACATAATTCACAACATCTCAAAGTGCTTTTCATACAGAGCAGGTCTAGACCATAGTCATTATGCTGCTATTTAAAGAGACCCAACAATTCCCACCATGAGCAAACACTTGGTGACACAGCCAAGGAAAAACTTTAAAGAGGCAGAAATCTCGTGCAGAACCATGGCTCAGGGTGGGCGGTCATCTGCCTCGACCGGTTGGAGTTGACAGAGCGAGAGAGAGAGAGAGAGAGAGAGAGAAAGGGCAACAAAGTGAGAGATAGAGCAAATTCATTCAATGGCAACAGTCATGAGAGGATAAAGGCCTCAAAGTACTAACTCAAGGTAAAAGACACCCAGCTGTTAACACTATGTGTGTGTGTGTGTGTGTGTGTGTGTGTGTGTGTGTTCTTTGTAGGAATTTCAAGGCAATCTGCTGCAAGTAGAAGTCTGCACTCTAATAACACACTATCTGATGGTTGAATTTGATGTCTTATATATCGACTGACGATTAACAAGATCCTTTATAGTTCAATAATTATTTGTATATCAACTATGATCAAAAGAAAATAATTCCAACAATAGTAAAGGTTAATATAGGTCTTAAACACTAAATGTCCTTACAAATCATCCAAATAACATCGTGAGTCATAAAATGTGGCACAACAAATGTGTCCAACCTGTGTTTAGCACTTTTTGGTGTCCCCTGGAAACACTTCTGTTACTGATTGGGGATCAAAGCTTAGTACCTGAGAGTTTGCACTTTTCCCACATTTTCAAATTGAAGCTCAGAGAAAAGGACTTTTGCTTTTTAATCAGCATTGCTGGATAAACAACTGATATCATGGCACACTAAATGTGTGGCTTCACAATTGGTGAAAATCGTTGTTACAAATGCTTTACTTGTATTGTACTGTACATTGCACAATAATGCAATGTTTGCTATCCATTTAGGGGCTTTTCCAAGCAAATATTGATAGATGTGATTGTGATTAAACTAGAATATACAGCTACTACATATTTCTGCCATGCCTTAAAGTCTCCATACCACCCTCTTGCCACCCCATGAATTTGTTTCCAGATCCTGCATGTCTCATGTCTTAGAATGAGTGTTTTTTATAACAAGGATCAAAAGCTACAGCTTGCATATACAGAGTATATTGCTTTCACGTCTCCCTGTCAGCTGCCACCTCCTGTCAAATTCTCCAATGAGCTTGCTTCAGTGCTTTAGTGGCTGCAGCTGTCAGCCTGGAACACTTGCAGGTGGCGTGTTTAATTAAAGATCATATGCAGAGTGGCGGACAGTAACTGTCAGAGTGATCATGTGCTTCAGAACTGAAACAATGTGATTCTCTATTGGGCCAGTTGCCCCTGTTGCTGGTACCGGGATCCAACAGTAACAAGGTAACTGGCCATTTCTGTTCCATAAGGCATTCAAGCATTTACGAGGATGACAAGGTCCAGCAAGTCGGTCAGGCTTTAACATTTTTGTAAGTGACGGACCAGACACCTCCCAGCTGCTATGGTGCGACAGACCAGGGCATCGTCACTGCAGAATTGCAATGTGTGCTCTGCACAATGAATCCCCCACACGGTTCCCAAGGACGGATCATAATTAATGCCTGTACATGAAAGTGTGACTCTCTCCCATCTCTTTATTACTGAAATACACATTGGCAAATGCGCCAGCTAGCCCTGCTAGCATATAAAAATACACTGCGTGCACAATTATTAGACAAGTGAGTATTTTGATCATATCATCATTTTTATGCATACTTTCCAACTCCAAGCTGTATAAAGTTGAATGCTTATAGGATTTACGCATATCAGGTGATGTATATTTGTGTAATGAGGGAGGGTGTGGCCTGAGGAGACAGCCTTTGCCTTTTAGACACTCTTGAAATAGCTAAACCTTTGAGGCATGACCACAAACATTTTGCTGCTAACAGTCAACTGTGGCACAAAAAGGTCATGCAGAAGAAAAGGCACAAATTAAGTGCAAAAGACTTGAGTAGAATTGAACATGAAGCTACCAGGAACCCATTATCCTCCAGTGCCACCATATTCAAGAACTGCAACCTACCTGGAGTGTCCAGAAGTACAAGTGCTCAGAGGCATGGCCAAGTTCAAGAAGGCTGAAACACGACCATTACTGAATAAGATTCACAAGATGACTCATCAAAATTGACAGATTTTTATGAACAGGTTTTATGGACAGATGGATGAGGAAGGAGAAGGATGAGATAGTTCGACCTTTTCAGGTTGAAGATGGACTGAGACTCAACTCCCAAACCTACTGGCTATCGCCATCTTGGTTTGTGGAACCAGTGAGACCTTATTTAGATGAGAGGGTGGGGGTGGGGAGGGATACCCATTGCTACATCTGACAGGTTGCCATGGTAGCGACTTGGCAACAATCATAAGGTAGCACCGCCCTAAAGCATCCCCTGGTCTATTTTCCTCTAAATGGGACCATAATTTACTAAATGAACTTCATGCTGTGTTGAAGAAGACTTGAAACTAGAGACTGAGACCATAAACTCATTAAGAAAGTGTTTACTGAGGTAATAAATCAGCTGAGAATAGCCTAATTTTGCTATTAATGAATAATGAAATCAAACTGTTTTTTGGAACCAATGCTGACCATTAGACAGAATGGCCTGTATAAAACCAATGATGTCATCCTACTTTGCTGCACTCTTTAAATAATTTATTGACTGACCAGCAAATTTAAACCAGAGATTTTCAATTGTTTACTGTTGCACACAAATATAAATACAATGTGTATATGTTTACAAAAATATTGTGATGTCTGTGTTCACATTAGTAGAACAGAAGGCCATGTACGTTTACAGTGTGTGTGAGGGTATGTCTGTGTGTGTGTCTGTGTTTACTGAGTGCTGTCTCTATGGGAACCAAAAGAGATGGGAAATGACTATGATATAATTTTGCTGGTGCAAATAAATGTGCGTGTGTATTGTCAGTTGTTAGGGTGCTGAGCTCAGGGAGTCATTATCATTAATGAAGTGGCCTCTATCACAGAGCGTATTCTGGCTGCACATTCACTCTTCCTTCTCTGCCTGATTCCAGCCATACTCCCCATCCACCTATCACTTTCATGCACACTTTCACACAATTTCTCTTTCACACACACATACACATACACATACACACACACACACACACACACACACACACTGGCTGATTGACTTCTGCACAGGTTGAAGTTGGGCAGAGGTATCCTCCACAAGGTCACCAAACTGAATATAATAGTAAGAAAATTAAAGGTACAGATTTTTCCACTTTAACAGGTGCAACAGGAGAGTATGGGTAATGTCATGAGGCGTGATCAGACAAAGTATGTTTGACTGTTTATAGTTCTTTAAACCTCTGACTTGTATTACCAATGAGAATGTAAAGAAAGAAATTCTACTTCTTCTCTTTACAGTTGCCAATGAGGCGGGAGAAGGCAACCACCGTCCACTAGCCCGCTTTGCCCGTGAGTTCACCAGAGTTCATTATTTTTCCATTTGGGTGTGTAATAGAGGTAGATGTGTGTGTGGTGGTGTAGTTGAAATGTAAAATCAGGCAGAGTGCATTTCTTTGTTTGAAAATTGCCCAGGCTCACAGTCCCAGAATGCACTATGCACCGCTGTCACAGCCCGCACTGGCAACATTGACCACAAAGGAATTCTGATCGACCCGCGCAGCACAGAGGAGATCCTGGCTGATGAGCTGCCTAGCGCTGATGCACCCAACGCCATGGAGAAGACTGCTATCAGGTTGCAATGCACAAAAACACATACTCAGAAACTGAAGGTGACTCATACCTTTTTCTATGGACCCTTTTACAGTCCGAGGACCACACGGAAACAGCACCCGGTCAAGCAAGGTTTAGCAGCTCTAATGTTTGCCATGTTCACCATCTTAGTTAAACACGTTAGCAGGAAATCTTCAGAGTCATTACAATTCATTCTCTGGAGACCATTGTGACCCCAGTCTTGGAGACTGTCTTGGCCAATCTCAGCAATCAATTTGCTGACATGGGAGGGTTTAGCTAATCTGGGCCCATAGGCTGTAAGAGTAATAACCACCCAAGTGTGACATTTCTTGAGCCAGATTGTGACAGTATGCATGCCTGAAACAAATATTAATGGCAGTTCATCAAATAATTGTTGACAATTTTCAGTCTGGACCAAAGTGGTGGACCAACTGACATTGCCATTCCAAGAGCCATGAACCTGGTACTATATCTTACATGTGCAAAGTTGCCATTTTGCCTTGATGGGTGGAATGAGCTCACCATTTAACTGATGTGGCACTACAGGAAAAGTCAAGAGGTTACCAAAATGTGGTTCAACCATTTGATTCCAAAAATATATAGGTGCTTGTGAATTTGGGTGGCTGGGGAGATATCTTTGCTGATGACAGATTAGCTGATTAGGTCATCTTTCCTCTAGCAAGTGATACAGCAGTAAAACAGCTCTGTATTTTGCTTTGTGGTGAAATTAACTGTGTGACACATCATTATTATATTTGGCTTTGTTTCACTGCGTTGGCATCATTGCCACTTCACAGTTTCGACACTGAGTTTCCCTCGAGGTGCACACATTCTATTGCCAAGTTTGTTTAAATCAATCCCAAAAGATGTGTGGGAAGTGGACTTAGGATACAGATTTTAGAAATGACTTCCCAGAGGAATTAATTCCATTTTAAAGGATCCTTTATAAAAGAAAGGTTCATAATTAATGGTATAACTCAAAATCAATATATCTGTTTCTCACATTTACTACAGTTTCTTAAATGTCTATTGCTCAGAGGTGGAAAGAGTACAAAAATATTCTACTCAAGTAAAAGTACGATTACTTTCATGAACTTTTACTTAAGTACAAGTAAAATTACCAGTGTGAAAATCTGCTCAAGTAAAAGTAAAAAGTAGCTAATTTTAAATTTACTCAGAGTAAAAGTTAATTAGTTACTTTTTTAAACTCCAAAAATAACTTCTTTATATTGATTTAATATCTCATCTATACGTATTATAGCCAACTTAATTGAATTGCAGTCTTATGCAATTTGATAAAGGAACATGCTTTCAATTTTAGTTTGTTTGACAGATACTTTGCCAAATCAATTCAAGTAACTAGTTACCAGCAGGTTGCTTATACCAACCAACATTGTCATGTACCTACAATGGTATAAGTAGGTTATTATTTAACTTCATCAGGGGTCCTCAACTATCTCACTTACAAACAGATTGCATTTCCTGTGACTAAATCAAAATAAAAGTCAACTTGTGTTTCGCCAGTTAAATGCTTTTAATGTGAAGCTGCAGCAGCAGGATATGTTAAGTTTGCATTAGCAGTAACTTAATACAGCATTTTTTCACAGCTTACAGTGCATGATAAATCTATTGTTCTCTTGCACTTGAAGCCAAAGTGGTCGCAAGCTTTTCCTTGCACATTTTTTTAGTAACGGATGTGATTGGAAATGTAGCAAAGTACAATACTTTAAACACAACATACTTAAGTCAAAGTAAAATTACACATTTAAAAAACTACTTTAAAAAGTACAAGTATACAACAAAAGTACAGTAACATGAGTAATTGTAATTCGTTACCTTCCACCTCTGCTATTGCTGTTATTATAAAATATGTATTGTTCAAGGTCTATACAAGTCTCGGACACGAGTGTATTTAGCAATATCTGTAATGGAAAGACACTGATTATAGTAAATTCAAAGAATAGGCACTCAGGTTCTTTAAGTTATGGATGAAGCCATTATATCAGAGTAAGGGACAGTTGTAATGTATCTTTCCTTCTGGGACTTCTGAGTCTACACCCCAGATCAAACACCTGGCATTGTTCCAACGAAGTAGTGATGCTGATGTTAATGTAGTGGCTATGTTTTGCAGGTTGCGATGTCTTGTAAAGCAGCTGGAGAGGGGAGAGGCATCTGTGGTGGACCTGAAGAAAAACCTGGAGTATGCCGCCTCAGTCCTTGAGTCTCAATACATCGAGGAAACCAGGCAAGGAGCTTCCAGCTCAGTTCTAATTTTATCATACCATACTTAACACAAGAACCACCAATGGGTAAAATTTACCCACAGCTGTTTTTTGATTATATGTAACTTTTTTAAAGTCCCGCAGTCTTTGACTTTTCCTAAAAGTGTGTTATGTTGCACCCCCTATAGTTAAAAATTGTCAACATCAAGCCAGATTTAAATAATGGGCATTTATACCTGTAAGAGCCAGCGGGTAAAATTTACCCCAGTCATTTTCGCGCTATCCATTTCGTGCGTTTAGATGAACATTCTATGTTGCTATTGGCAACGCCTTTCTTTACTAGCTAGAACAGTGTCATAAGTCATAGGTTGACATTCACTATAGACAAGAGAAAGAGAATTATGAATGCAACTCAGGCATTACAGTTGTACAACGAATTGAGTGAACAAGAGTCCAATGGTGGGGAGGTTTCAGAACTGAGCAATGTGTCCTGGGATGATTCAGCATCTGACGGTTCATCATCTGAGAGCAATCCAGAGCCTCCCCGAAAAGTGAGGCCGCCCCATCCTCTGCTTGGAGATGGGCCTACTATAGCTATTGTAGATAGAAAGAAAGAAAGTAGATAGGCTATAGCCTGATAGTAAGCTATATGCTATTCCTCAACAAGCGTGCATCTGGCTGCAAATGATTAACCTATAGGCTTATAGCCTATCATGTAGACTAGTCTCACCTTTAGACTGAATAGGCTTACCTACTTACCCGCTCCTTATGGCAGACTATACACATTTATGAAATAGACTTTAGGCCTATTCTAAAGTAGGCTGCTCTTTCCCTCGTCCCTATTTAGTGTCTACCACGGCTCGGGAAAGATGGCACAGTGTGGACGGTCATAGAGTCACGGGGAGACAGCAAAGACAAAACATCCTGCCAGAGTCTGCTGGCCCCACACCACACGCATGGCGCAATATTTGCGACAAAGTCACAGCATTTATGTCTCTGTGTGATAGTGTAATGTTACACATACGTGAGTGCACCATTGCCAAAGCGTGCAGATCAGGTGAAGAGAGAGGCTTTTATTGCGCTTTTGCATGTGAGGGGTGCATACTGCGGGAAAAACCTTGACATCGAAAGTTTCTGGTCAGAGCAATGGGGTAATACATTTTTTATCACCACTCTGTCCATGAACAGGTTTCGAGAAATATTGCGCTACCTGCGCTTTGATCATAAGGAGACCCGCCGCTGCTGTCTGACAGACAAATTTGCACACCTGAGGGAAGTGTGGGATAGGTTTGTAAAGAACTCTATTGCATGTTTACAAGCCAGGATTGGACATTACTGTGGATGAACAATTGTTCCTGACAAAAGCGAGATGCTCCTTCACCCAGTATATGCCCAACAAGCCAGACAAATTTGGGATCAGTTTTGGCTGGCAGCTGATGTTGACAGCAAGTACATGATAAATGGCTTCCCATACTTGGGAATAGATGACAGTAGGCCATCCACACAACACCTGGGAATGTCACCACCAACAATTTTTTCACCTATGTCCCATTGGCCAATGCCTTTCTCTTCAAATCGACCAGCCTGGTGGGCACCATCAACAGGGACAAGCGGGAGCTCCCACTTTCTATGCGAGGGAGAAATGAGTTGTTCAGCACCACAGTGCTAAAGCATGAAAAAATTAAAGCTGCAAGCAGCGTTGGGCGGGCCCTCGCACTTGTAGCGAGTCCGGGTGTGAGCCGGCCGAGTTGCATATTCTGGAGCTCTGCCGGTGCGGCTGTGAATTTGCGCCGACGCCGCATGAAGGTGTTATATGTCACTTCCTGTGTCCACTATGTGGAACTACATAGCACTTGCCGATATGAATAAAAATCGGTATTGGTGTGTAGATGTCTGCGGGGTGGGAGAGTTATCAAGCACGTAAAGTTTGTTTCAGATGTGAGCATGTACACTGAACAATAATGTACCCAAACAATAAAATAAATTCCTTTTATATTTCCCTGCCTTGTTGTTTATGTGTAGATACAGAGGAAGAATGTGAGAACAGCACACATTTCATCGTTACTGTGTGTTAGAGCATGGGAGAACAGTGGATACTTTTAATACAGCCCACACCCCTAATACTGTGTAACTATAACAAGTAGAGAACAGAAGAAAAAGATGTTCTTTCTTTACAACTGTCTGCATAGCTTATTCATATTGTGTAATGAATGAAAATAAATAGGCCTACAAGGCTCCTCCCTACTTTGACATTTAAGATTAGCTTGTTTGATCCACCTTCATACACATGAGACATTACTGTACAACTTGAGAAAGGTGAGTTGTTTTCTGCTCCAGCCTGCCTAAAAGAAAAGCGTTTTTGGGATTAAATGGACTTTATTGAGCATTTATTTATTTCTGTATTTATTTCTGACTGTGTCAGGATCGGTCCTCCATAGCGGGGTGGGAGAGTTATCAAGCACGAAAAGTTTGGTTAAGATGTGAGCATGTACACTGAAGTTACAACAACTTCCTGTGTCATGGCGAAGACTTGATTTCTGACGCCACGCCACGGACACACCCATTGACGAAAACTCGCAAATAGCACAACTTTTCATCTTCAATGCCTTTAGAAGGCACAGCAGAAATTTGAAGTCGGTCGGACTAAATCCCTAGGAGGAGTACGTTAAAATACGAAGTGTGTAAATCATCCAAAATTTGACGTAAAATTCAAAATGGCCTACTTCCTGTTGGTTTTAGGGCATCGCTCCAAGAGGCTTTTTTGTGCGTCTGGACAAGATACACGTACCACAGAAAATTTGTGCACGTAGGTGAAACGTGCGGCGGGGGCTGCTTCGTTAAAAGTCACTTCCTGTTGCCAGCAGGTGGCGCTATGACTGTGGGTGAATGTCAGCATGTACATGTGTTCAGGGCGGGACTCTCATCCTACATGTACAGTTTGGTGCAGATGTGAGCATATACACTGAAGTTACAACAACTTCCTGTGTCATGGCGAAGACTTGATATTTGACGCCACGCCACGGACACACCCATTGACGAAAACTCGCAAATAGCACAACTTTTCATCTTCAATGCCTTTAGAAGGCACAGCACAAATTTGAAGTCAGTCGGACTAAATCCCTAGGAGGAGTTCGTTAAAGTACGAAGTGTGTAAATCATCCAAAATTTGACGTAAAATTCAAAATGGCCAACTTCCTGTTGATTTTAGGGCATCGCTCCAAGAGACTTTTTTGTGCGTCTGGACAAGATACACATACCACAGAAAATTTGTGCACGTAGGTGAAACGTGCGGCGGGGGCTGCTTTGTTAAATGTCACTTCCTGTTGCCAGCAGGTGGCGCTATGACTGTGGGTGAATGTCGGCATGTACATGTGTTCAGGGCGGGACTCTCATCCTACATGTACAGTTTGGTCCAGATGTGAGCATATACACTGAAGTTACAACAACTTCCTGTGTCATGGCGAAGACTTGATCTTTGACGCCACGCCACGGACACACCCATTGACGAAAACTCGCAAATAGCACAACTTTTCATCGTCAATGCCTTTAGAAGGCACAGCAGAAATTTGAGTTCGTTAAAGTACGGAGTGTGTAAATCATTCAAAAATGGCCGTAAAATTCAAAATGGCCGACTTCCTGTTGACTTTAGGGTATGGGTTCTTGAGGCTTTTTTGTGCGTCTTGCGTCTACATGTCCCCAGAAAATTTCGTACATGTAGGTTGAACGTGAACGAGGGGCTAATCTTTTCCAATTTTCTAGGTGGCGCTAGCGAGTCATTTTGCCACGCCCATGTGCAAAACTTATAGAATACGAAATTTTTCACCAGTTCTGACATGTTTGCAAATTTTGGTGAGTTTTCGAGTATGTTTAGGCCATGTCATTTGAGCATACTTTGCAGAAAAAAAAAAAAATATATATATATATATATATAATCTTAGCAAATTCAATAGGGACCTCACACGGTCGTGCTCGGGCCCTAATAAGAAAGATAAGATAAGATGAGAAAAAACATTATTTGTCCCACAGTGGGGAAATTGTGGTACATGGTAATTGTGTGAAGACACAACAAAGGGCTGCCCCATTTACTAGTTGTCTTATTGTTAAAGGCTTTGAATAGGATGGCGGCTCATTTAACTGTAACTTTAAGTACACGATGATTAAATGCAGATATTACAAAAGGGCTATTGATACTTTAATTACCTCCAAGCCACGTTGGCAGAAAACTTTGCCCCGTTGAAGAGGTGGTCGCTTTCCCCCCTCAATTTAATAAAGAGGGCAGTTTGCTCCTTGCTCCCTAAAACAAAACGACATGTTCAAGTAAGTTTTATGCTTCACATCACCAAACAGTAAGCAGCATAAATCGCAAAATAACCTAGTTACATTAACCGTGTACTATATCCCAAGGTTTTTGTAACCATTACTAACGTTAACGGTGTGAAAACCAACCCGTCTAACGTTAAATTAGTCTAACGTTACGTGGTCACGTTATTTCATGTACATAATATTAAGTATAAGTGATGTAGAATATCGCGACAATCTCGGTAAGACACAGGTCTGACTCTGAACCTCTTCGATTTAAAGTGAAGACGTTAAAGGCTTTATTTTTTAGGTTGTAACTTGCCCAAACAATTTGCATTTAACGTTAACGTTAGCACATCAGTAACCTCAGGTAACGTTAACTTATTGTTAGCTCGCCAGTTAATCACTTAACTCACGTTAACTTCTTCCACAAAACTATTCTTTAAACGACACATTGCGCTTTTTTGCCTCGTTATTTTTACATATGTGTAGTTGGCTTTTGAAATGAGTTGAAATCCAATACTTACATTTATAGGTAAAATTCGGGGGGCTGAACTCCACAGCCACAGCCGACGCCATTATTTACGCCGGGACAATCAACTGGCGCGCAATGAATGTCGGGATACCTGGGGCTGTGAAGGATCCAACTGTTGGATCCTCCAAACGGACGAAAAGAAGGCTGCATTTGAGGAGCCTTCGAAATGGGACAGCCTAGTCGCATCGACTGTGACGTATTCGGTCTTCAAATGCAGCCTTCGAAGGATGCGGTCCCTGAATTGAGACACAGCTTGTGTAGGTGTATGTTATCATACAGGCAGTCCAGGTGCAGGGTCGGTTGGTGGGCCAAGAATACGTTGGGTTTGAGGGCACAGTCCCTGGAGAGTCTGATATTCACTCTGTGAATAGTGTGGGGGTGGAAGTCTCTCCTGTGCAGCAGCGTGGATATGACTATCTTGCTGGTAGGGAAATTGGTGGAGGCTTGCTCAATGACTCTCCTCAGAGAGTCTGTCCTGCTGGGACCTGAAGTCGTTGGTGCCTGTATGGATGTTGATGTGGCTAGGTGAGCCTGCTAACAGCTCCAGTGCTCTCCTGGTGTTGGGGCACCAGATCTTTTCCGTTCTGTGCCTTGGGAATAAGGTCTTTTCATCCAGGAACTTTCCATTAGAGTCCATGAGGAGGATAATGTCAGCCCTTCTGCCTGTGTGTGTTTGTTCAGACTCAGCTGTCGGGTCTGGATGTGGAGCTGTGGTGGTGGTTTCAGGTCTGGAGCTCCTAGCTGGAGGCTGGCTAGAGGCCGGGCCTTGGACAGGTGCAGGGGTGTGACTGGCGTCTTGGCTTGGGATGTTCGTATGGAGGCAGCTGGTTGGTACAGGGGGGGGGATTAGAGTCTGCACCAGGCTGCATGAGAGGGGGGGAGTCCTCGAGGAAAGGGCTGTGTTGTCCTTCAGCAGGTGTAGTGGGAGTTTGGCTGGATGTGGTCTGGATCTGAGAGGCGGGCACAGGGGGTTGTGTGGAGTTCAGTCTGGCTTGTAGACTGAGCCTGTCCCTGTCCTGTCGCTCTTCTCTCAGAGTAGCCAACTCAGTTCTGCAGTTGTCTCTGTCCTTCCTAAGTTCCTTCACCTCCTCACTGAGATGATCCAGCTGTCTTCTCTGACAAGCTAGTTCTTGTTGAAACTCTCTCAGCTGTGAGTTGACACTGTCCTGTTCTTTCTTGGCCTGGAAGTCACTGACAGTAGGAGAGGTGGGCTGCTGTTGGTCCAGCTGCTCTCTGATCTGTACCAGTTCTATTTCCATCTGGGAGAAGTGTTCTCTCATGATGTCCAGGACCTCAGAGTGCTGTAGCAGGAGAGGATCAGTGTCAGCATCTGCAGGCTGTCTGTCTGGAGCAGGGACAGAACAGGACGGTTTGACTCCCAGGGTTGGAGCGATGCTTGCAAGGACCTCCTTCTCCTTCTCAGCTCTCAGTCTCATAGCAGGAAAGTCGAGCTCAAACTGTCTCAGGTCGCCTTGTATCATGGCAGTTCCATTTTTGAACAGGTTTACTGTTATTCTGCTGGTGTCAGTCATTTTCTTCCAGTACACTTATTTTCCATCCATTACAAATGCCTGCTCTCTGTATTGCTAGGTAATGAGAGCTGAACACATTCAGCCAGGCACATGGTTCATCAGTCCAGAAGATTAAATTGTAGGATCTTCCATCTTTGTAGTGGTCCAGGAACAGGATTTCTGGTCTTTCTCGAAGTAATGTTTGTTTATATATACAGCTGATAGCAGGGGGGTAGTCAATGGCTTCAGAGTGTGGAGACATCATGAAACAGTTGTTAATCTTCAAGCTTCTGTGTTTAAAACAGCACTACTGCTGTTTGATGCCGTTGCATGGTAACCACAGTCCAGTGTTAGCTTGTTAGCTATTAGCTTGAGTGTTTCAGTTGGGACTTGTTTTATGGTAATAAATGCAAAAACTTACTGATTTCAGTGTCCAGTAGTTTGCTATAACTTGCTTGAGTCCCTCTATCCTCTTCTTGTTTGTTTTTGTTCTCTCCTTGTTTATTTCTCTTCAGTTTGATGCTGTTTCTGAGCTCAGTTTTCTGAGCTCCTTCTTCAAACTGTATCTCTTTTCCTTCTTTCTCTTTCTTTCTCCTTCTTTTTCCTCTTTTTCTCTCCTCTGGCGTATTGTGGTCACTTCTTTTGCATTTTCCTCATAAAAAGTCGGTGTTTATCCAATTTTTGGACCGAAAACAAGCGTTTTGTTTAGCAGCATGTCTTAAATATGACTTCTCAACAACAACGGAATTCGGAAGTCTCTCTCTCTCTCTCTCCTCCTCACCCCTAACCGGTCGAGGTAGATTTCCGCCCACCCTGAGCCATGGTTCTGCTCGAGGTTTCTGCCTCTTAAAAGGACGTTTGTCCTTGCCTCTGTTGCCTAGTGCTTGTTCTTGGTGGGTAAATAATAGCACAGTCTACAGAGTACAGTCTAGATCTGCTCTTTTATGATAAGTGTTATGAGATAGCTGTTGTTGTGATTTGGCTCTATATAAATAAAACTGAATTGAACTGAACCATCTTATAGCAAAAATGAGTGATCTGATCCTGGATTACTACAACAACTACAGGTTGAGAGCGCCAGCAAGGACAAAAACATCAAAATAGCACAGACTGGAGTTGGGAATCATCACACGGTGCACCATTTGTGTAATGCTGTTTGAACTGGCTATGAACATGATATGTGGAAAATCTGATGAACCAGAGTGCAGAGGCCCCAAGTCCAGATCCAGGATTTAACAAACACCAATCCATACTTTCAACACAGTTCGTCATCCTGATCCTTTTGAAAGATTTTTCAGGTCAAGACAGAAACCCTTTAGTTTCCTGATAAAGTTATGAATTAACAGCTGTGGAGAGAGTGTGATAAATACACAATGCAACAGTGCTCGTTAAGATGGCGCTGCTCAGGGCAGCCGTTGTATTTTGATGCTCTCTGTTTGTTTTGTTTACGTTTGTTAACTTTGCATTCTGCTGTGATACACGGAGCCCTTTCACCAGAGAAGAGCTCATAAACATCAGGGGAACAATGCCAGGGGATTTAATTCTGACTTTTCTTGGGTCATCAGTGGAATTATTGGACATTCTGGTCAAGGCTTCACTTTCCGCTGTTCATGCGGTGCGGTGCGGTTCATGAGGAGGGGAAGGACACTACGCCAAAGAGGACACCGCACGCCCCTACCGGGAATATTTCTCTCCATCGTGCGCTCACTGTGCAATAAAATGGACGAACTTCGGCTACTGGTTGGGAAAAACAGAGATTTTTATTCATCTTCTGTTTAGTGCTTCACAGAGACGTGGCTGTCTGGATCAATACCAGACTCCACGCTGCAGCTGGCTGGCTTCCAGGTCTACAGAGCGGACCGCGGCATGGAACTCTCTGGCAAAACAAAAGGTGGAGGTGTCTGTTTTACATTAACAGTGGCCGGTGTGATGTGACAGTGATTCAGCAACACTGTTATCATGACCTGGAATATTTATTGATACATTGTAAGCCATTCTACTCCCCCCGTGAGTTTGCTAGCTACTTTCTGCTCTGTGTTTACATCGCACCGCAGGCCAACGTGCAGGAGGCACAGCGCACGCTGGCCGATCAGATACTGTGGGTAGAGCAGACATTCCCGGACTCCTTAGTTATTGTTCTTGGTGACTTTAACAAAGGAAACCTCAGCCATGAACTTCCCAAATACGGACAGTTCATAAAGTGTCCATCCAGAGAGGGGAACCCTCGAGCTCCACTGGGACACTCTGACCCCGCCATGGTTCACTTGATTCCTGCATACAGACAAAAACTAAAAATCTGTAAACCTGTGGTGAGGACATCAAAGCAGTGGACCAGTGAAGCTGTAGAGAACCTCCAGGCGTGCTTGGACTGCACTGACTGGGATGTTTTCAGGACTGCTACCAACAGTCTGGATGAGTATACAGAGGCTGTGACGTCCTACATTAGCTTCTGTAAAGACAGCTGCATTCCAACACGGACCAGGGTGAGTTATAACAATGACAAACCCTGGTTCACAGCTAAGCTCAGACAGCTGAGGTTGGATAAGGAAGAGGCGTTTAGGAGTGGTGACCAGGCCAGGTTTAAGGAGTCAAAGTACAGGTTTAGCAAGGCGGTGCGAGATGCTAAACAGCTGTACGCAGAGAGACTACAACACCAGTTCTCAAATAATGACTCTGCTTCTGTCTCGAGAGGCTTCAGACAGATCACCAGTTACAAACCTAAATCCCCCCAATCCATGAACGACTCACGCCTTGCCAACAGGTTAACCCAGTTTTACTGTTTTGAAAGACAATGGGACAGACCTGACACCATCCCCCGTCACACCACTGATCGGCTACAGTCCACCATCTCATCCCCCACTTCCTCCCCCTCTCTTACCATCCTGGAGAGGGATGTCAACAGACTGTTCAGGAGGCAGAAACCTCGCAAAGCAGCTAGACCGGATTCTGTCTCCACATCCACCCTGAAGCACTGCGCCAATCAGCTGTCTCCGGTGTTCACAGACATTTTTAACACCTCACTGGAGACATGCCATGTGCCAGCCTGCTTCAAAGTCTCCACCATCATCCCTGTCCCCAAAAAACCAAGGACCACTGGACTAAATGATTACAGACCCGTCGCACTGACATCTGTGTCGCCACCACTGTCAGTGACTCTCATGCCCCCCTCCCCAAACTCACACACACTCATACACTCTCCTGACCCCACACTTTGTTTGCTCGTACATAAACTACAGCAGAAATGGCACATTATATGAGTTATGGTTTTTTATGCATGAGTTTCTTCCTGCAGGCGGCTGCTGGATCCAGAAGATGAGCTGAGCGACATCCAGTCAGACTCTGTGCCATCAGAGGTTCGTGACTGGCTGGCTTCCACTTTTACCCGGCAGAGGGGACTGATGCACCGTAATGAAGACAAGCCACGCTTCCGTAGCATTGTCCATGCAGTGCAGGCTAGCATCTTTGTGGAGAGGTTTGGATTACTTTAGTCTGTCTTTGTTGGGTCTTGAATGATTAGGTTCACTTGGTGTAACAGTACTCTGACCCTTAGTAATGATTTAATCATGAATTAGTGTTTTCACATTAACATAGTTTCATTATATACTAATGAGTAATGACAAATAAGTATACCATTTTCAATTACAGCTGAAAGCGTAGTAAAAATATGACAGGGTTTCATTAACATCCAGTGTTTCAGGGGAAATTCAGTTTGTCATTAACAATGAAATACAACAAAAATGAACAGTATTAATCCTTCATTCTATTCAGGTTAATGGCTGGTTGCAATCAACAAAACTGCATTTTCATCACAATCCTGTAAGAGGAATGGTTGCTCACTCTGTCCCCTCAGGCTCTCAATGTGACTGCTTATTTGGTATTTCATTATAGCTCATCACAGGTGTAGCAGGTGTTGTGATCAGCGTTTCCTTCTGTATTCATAAAAAATACATTCTATGTTGGCAGCTACCCAAATCAACAGATGTTATAAGAGGCTGGCACAGCGACCAATCAGAAAACACATCCCATAACAAAACACACTTACAGCGTACCTAATTTTATTTCTGTGGTGTCTGACGAGCATTGTTTCATGCAGATTTCTTAAAAAATGTCCTTTAAACCAAACTCCACAGCTCTTCTGTCTCTCCTTTGCCACAGTGCAAGTAGTTTTTAATTTGCTTTGACTTTGTAAACAACCTCTCTGCTGTGGAAGAAGCAACAGAAGGGCAGTGCAAACTTTTTCCAGTGCAAACCACTTACGCTTTGACCCTTTGGTAACCACCCATACAACCTGACTTCCGCCCTATGACGAAGAGTCAAAATTCACATGGACACTAGACGTCACTCTTCAGTTAAAAATAAAAATAGGTCGTATCAGTTAGTTCAGGCAGCTGATTATGTCAGTATTCTTGGGACAACAGTCTTCCATTGCTACGTAATTTTTAAGTAAGGAGCATTTTATTCCACATTAACAGACTGGAGTCCTAGAACATGTCTATTTTATGTGTATGTTCAGAAAGATTTCCTATTTTGTTTGAGGGCGAAATGTAAGAGATGGTGTGTAGTCAAGGTCAAATATAGAAATGAAGGTGGTCATGGTGCAGAAGTATACAAAACAGATATAAAAAACTGATATAAATACAAATATACAATAACACCTACACACACACACACACACACACACACACACACACACACACACACACACACACACACACACACACACACACACACACGCAGACACACATATCTTCTCTTTTTAAGTCATGGTGACACAAGCTAGACTCTCTGCCAACTGTGTAAGTTATTGTTAATGTAGAAATGGGAGAGAGGAGATGGTGGCCTGAACTTTCTTCATGGAACTTTTTTTGAAAGTTGGTAAATTTACGTTCCTATTCCAACATTTAAGAGAGAGAAAATTATTGATTTAAAGAAAACAGAACAGAAAGAAGTTGTTGTTCTCACCACCATGTCAGCATAGCATTCAGGATGTGTTGGCTTGTTCTGACATTGTGTTATATCTCTGTGACAGGATGTACAGACGGACCTCCAACATGGCTGGCCTCAGTTATCCTCCAAATGTCATCACTGTGCTCAAGGTATTATTGTGTAGCTGTTTATTTTTGTATGGTGAAAATTTGTAATAGATTCAAATACAAATAGCACTGAGCAATAATTTTATCTCGTATGAATCTTTTAATTCAAACCCATTTCAATAATTGATTGATTCATCCATCAATTATGGATAACTGCCGGAAGGTCACGCTAAATCACAATAACTGCATTTCACTAGACCATGGGACGTATGTGTGCAAGTTTATTTAGAGCAATACCTCAGTGGATCGTCGTATCTTGATCTTCCTCCCTGTAGGGGTGCTTGAACTGGTGAGAAAGAACAAAGCAGCAATGACGCATGCCGGGTGGCAAGGTTGACATCTCTAGTTTGAATTCACCAGAGTGAGCTCCATGGTAGGTGTGGGCAATGGAAGCCTGAGATGGGCTGACACTTAGGTTAGGATGCACTCTGGGTATTACAGATGGATGCAGTAAGAGCAGAGGTTGAACAGGGAGAGGTCCAAACTGGGGAATGGGAGAGTTAAGGTCAAAGACCTATTATTATTACTATTAATAGCAGTAGGGTGTGCTATGGCACCGAGATGCTAAAGGGCATGGACGGGTGATGGGGGAGTTAGGATGGGAGGTCAATAGGAACTGGAATGAGAAACAAAAGTGGCTTGCCACAGGTGGGGGAATCTGAATGTCCACTGAAAGTTATCACTTCTCTCAACCTATTATTTTAACTACTGAGTCATTAGAGTTGTTGCAATTATAAACCCCTGAAAAAAGATTGAGTGTGTAGTATATTCTATTTATTTATATAATTATTATTTTGTTTATGTCTTTGAAGAAGCTACTATATGGAGGCATACACATATCAATAGGGTAACAATCATCTGCACAGCAGAATAAAAAAAAAACCAGTTCTTCTTTATTTCTGCATGTATTTTGACTGAAATGTCAGGCATTTTTGGGTTTTCTTATGTCTTATCTAAGATATACCTTTAACAAAATAGCAATGAACAGATGGACAGGTGGGTATGTTTATAATCATGTGCTAATGAAACTTGTTTGTATGTGTCTCTTCTAGCATGTGGACATGTGGTCCTTCGATGTGTTTGCACTGAATGATGCTAGTGGAGACCACGCTCTCAAATTTGTCTTCTATGAGCTGCTCACCAGATATGACTTGATCAATCGTTTCAAGGTATGCCAATAAACTTCCATTGTTATTACCAGTCACATCAGATATGTGATTGTGTGTCATCATGTCTGCATCATTCCATTTTCAAAGACTCTTTACTGGGGTCACATGTGCCATGTGGCAAACTATGTGGTAGGGCAGAGATGCTCACAAGTCTTTCAGCTAGAGTCCAAGTCAAGTCTCAAGTCTCTTGTGGTTATAATGAATGTTGTATCACCTGCTGCGTTCAAAGCAGGCTGCTTATAAAACTGCTTCACTATAAGGAATTCTCTAACTGTAACCTGTTTTTCACTTACAGAGCACAACCATGTAGCCTAAGATACAAAGCCTCAATAACTAATCACAGCTTATAAACTACTGTAAGTCAACACAACCCCCAGACTCTCAAACCAGTGTAACGTTATAGCCTAACTAAATAAAACTGTAACGTTACACAATAAACCTGTAGCCTGTTTGCTGCCATTAAATTGTTAATGCTGATGGCAGCCAGCGGGACGTAAAGGATTACATTAATCGACCACCACAAGTTTGGCGGCAAACAAACGCTCATTCATCTTATCCATCATATTACAGTCAAAGTTAAGTAGGTCGTAGAAGCAAGCTAACGTTAGATAATGACTTCAGAATTGACTTGAGACTCATCCTCAAAAGACTTGAGACCTCGTGGACCCTAGCGGACCCTCGCATACTTGCGGACGCGGAAAGCATAATCTTTGGTTTATTCCACTCCCTGCGTTACCTATACCCTACCTATGTAACACGTACTACGGATCTGCTGCGCGCGACCACACGTGAGAGAGGACAACAAACACCGGCAGCTGATAATTAACGCTGATGGCAGCCAGCGGGACGTAAAGGATTACATTAATCGACCACCACAAGTTTGGCGGCAAACAAACGCTCATTCATCTTATCCATCATATTACAGTCAAAGTTAAGTAGGTCGTAGAAGCAAGCTAACGTTAGATGGCCAATGCTGAGCTAAACATGTTTACTAACCTCAGGCTACTAACCTATTTTGCGTTCAGCGCTTCTTTGTTTGGGTCTTGTTGTATGAAGCTTTAAAGCCAAAGTTTATGATGAATGGCACAGCAGCTGCCGGTGTTTGTTGTCCTCTCTCACGTGTGGTCGCGCGCAGCAGATCCGTAGTACGTGTTACATAGGTAGGGTATAGGTAACGCAGGGAGTGGAATAAACCAAAGATTATGCTTTCCGCGTCCGCAAGTATGCGAGGGTCCGCTAGGGTCCACGAGGTCTCAAGTCTTTTGAGGATGAGTCTCAAGTCAATTCTGAAGTCACTGTGGGTGTGACTTAAGTGCGACTCGAGTCCGAGTCTCAAACTCGAGTCCCCATCTCTGGGATGTCCTAAAGTGTCCACTCAGGCAAATCATGTCAAGTACTCTGTGAATGGATGTTTTCTGGTGTGCAGCACCAATGAATACCAGTAACACCAGACACTTTATATATAGTGATACTGTTTGTCAGGAACACACATATTTTTTATATATATTATATAGAGTATATGTAGCATCCTCAATCATTTTCATCATCCTTCTTACATTCTTAAAAACATCATGTTCATCACTTGGTAGCATAGCTCATACTCTCAAGCAAAAACCATCACTATATGCTATTTGCAGGCCAGAGGCTTCGAATGCAGGCTCTTGCGCTTAAGCACACTTTCTTGTCATACTTGGCATTATGTCTCTAAGTGTTAAAAGTAAAGATCATCTTTAATCATTGTAAATGTCTTTCTCAAATAACAGTACATAAAGCATATCCAGAACATTCACTCATCATCACTTTCAATATACTTCCTGTCAGAATAAAGAGAAAGAGTAAAATACATTTCTACTGTCAGTCCTGAAGCATACTCTCACAAAAAATCATGATTACACAACATTATTATAATGGTGATTGAACAATGCATTTTAGCTGCACAGCAACATAAGTTTATAAAGGATACTGAATTAAATAAATTTGTTGTTTACTATTTCATATTACTTGATATACAACAGCATGCAACTATCGGCAGGCACAACTCAACACATTGTGGGTAACGTAGGCGCCAGGGTTTGACCAGGAAGAAGAATGTGTGGTATAAAGTGGAGATGATATTTGTCTACCTGTTTACGAGCTTATAGAGAAAAGTCTAGATGGAAATTCAAGTTTTAATTCCTATCTTTGACCTACAAAACTATGAAAATATTCTCCAAGTGGGAACTCTCTGATGTAACCATGGTTAACTTCAGCAATACTGTAGTACATTTACCTGACGCTTTTATCCAAAGCGACTTACAATTTCTGTATATGTCAGAGGTCACACGCCTCTGGAGCAACGAGGGGTTAAGTGTCTTGCTCAGGGACAAAACGGTGGATGGGTCACAGTGGGGGATTGAACCCAGGTCTCTCACACCAAAGGTATATGTCTTATCCATTACACCATCACCACCCCTAATATTTGTCATTGCGCTTCATTGCTGTGTTGCCTGTATTTCAGGTCCCTATTTCTGCTCTCATTTCATTTGTGGACACGTTAGAGGTGGGCTACAGAAAGCACAAGAACCCCTACCACAGCCTGATCCATGCTGCTGACGTCACACAGACCATCCATTACCTGCTCCTCAAGACTGGCATGGTGGTAAGTTTTGTTATGGGTTAAACCCATGAAATAAAGCACATTTGCTCAGTGAATCCTACTAGTGTTATTATGATTAAAGGGGATTTTAACACCTAAGTGTACCAAGAGTGCTTTAAGTCACTCAGCACATCAACATTCGGCCAGTTTAAATGAACTATGTCATAGTGAGAAGTTCTTGTTAAAGGAGCTCCACTAATCTTACCTATAAAGGTAAACTGTGTAGTTGTCATGGTAAGTCCTGTTGGACCGTAACTTTAAATTACCCTTTTTAAACTATGTGTAGTCCTTGGTCCTGCGTGTTCTTTCATGAAGCAATAGGAGAAGATGTTTTTGGTCCAAGTTAATCAGTTTTATTACAAGTAAATGAATAAAGCTTACAGTGCTCTGGGTCGATCTTCCTTTCCCTGACAAACAACAAGCTGTATCAGTTCATGAAGTCTGACTGGCTATCTCTCCCTGACCCAGTGTTTTAGTATACATCGTCATGTCATAAAACAATAAAACAAAAGTGTAGGTCAGTCCATGATTGGCCCAAGTCCTCTGACCCCAATGTTTGTCCTCTGACTCCACGAATCACCATGCTGTTGCTGGGCAGATTACGAGCGTAGATCCTGAAATGAGATATCTTGGAGAAGAGATGTTTGTACCACATTCCAAACTACCCCTCACAATGGGTGAGGGGTAGTGTGTCCTTATCTGATCATGCAGTGACCCCCTGTTTCTGCACCTCTCCAAAAAACACACACATCAGGTCTAGTTTAATAAATGATAAACCAACATACAGTATAAACTTCTACCTATAAAATACATCAGAGATCAATATAAGAAAACACAATAATTTTGGTTACCCTGAGTAATACAAAAATCATGCTATCATAATCCCTCAGTCCTACTCACCCTGCAAAAACAGTTGAACATCGACTGTAGCTCTGTAGGCCGGCACAGCGCCAGGATTTTAATTTTGGATGGGCCAAAGTAATGTTGGCTGGGCCTTTTACTTACAGAAGTTAAAACTGTTCCAGCTGTTAGCCTCGCTAAAGGAGAAATGACTGACATGCTGTTGAAGATAGCTGGTGCATCTGGTTGATCATCTTTTCTAAAACATTTTCAATGTTAGCTTTTATTTACCCACAGTTTGTGGCACATCGAGCCAAAATTAAACATAATATCCATCATGTTTATTTTGTGCTGTGGATTGTGTAGACCAATGCATCCTTTCATTTAGAACAGTGAAATCTTAATTCTATTTAAGGAAGCACATCTTGTTTGTAGGAGAGGCTGGATTTTTATTTGTTTAAATTGACTGTAGAGAGAGAGAGAGAAAGAGAGATCGACTGCTGGATGAGCTAGGTTCACTTTTAACAAGAGAGAGAGTGGCACAATATGCTACCGGCACTCCCAGAAGATTTTCCTAGGGGTGGCCAGATGGGGCAGCACACTAAACCAAAAGCCATAACTGAATTTCAGGAATTCAATTATGCAGTATATAGACTCGTACATACATACTACATAAAAATACGAGTTAAGGAATCAGACTGAATTACTTTGGTTTCTTATTTCACAGTTAAAATTGTGTAATGTCCATAGACTAAAACCAGTTCAGTTAACATTCCATTGGAGTTGGCCTTTTGAGATGCAAAAACCAGAGACATCGCCTGGGGTTTGGTAAGGATCTGCAGAGACTCAATCAGACATACATCGCTTAAGAACTGTGTATTCAAAGAGCCTTAGTGAACCCCTCTCGCCATAAAGGTGTCACTGGAGACACTTAGCAGGACAGCAAAGGGGGGTTGTCCAACCCCGCTCCCTCCACAGGTCACCTCCGGACATCAAAAGTACCACCTGTTCTGATTCCTTTTCCCACAGAATGGCTGAGCCATAAAACACCACTCCCTTCTCTCTTTAGCCGATTTGCAAATGTGATAAGCCAGGAATGCGAAAGGGGGAACACAACCTCTGCCTTAAAACAACAAAGGTTTCATTATAAACTGTGTTTTGTTCTGTTTAAATAATAATCCTTGCTAAGTTAGTAGTGGCGTTTGCCTCTTAGGTTAATAGTTATGTTACCAAGTTGTTGTTGAAAAGAATCTAAATAAGTTTTTGCAGTGTTTTAATTTTCAGCAAGGATCCCTGACATTGCCTCATTTTATGTTGTAACCAATTCTTTGTTCCCACTAACACTTTCTGACACTTCCTTTAGAAAGGATATGATAAAGAAATGTCATCCTATACTCGTTTAATTTTCCAGCTCGAATTTAATGTTAAATAACTAAATTCCCCAGCTCCTGAGCAAAAGATTGTTAAAAGGAATAATCAAAGCTATCTTCATGTAACCAGAGCTCCCCCAAGTGGACAAAATAAGTATTACATGCCATCGTTCTGAAATGCCGTTTAATGTATAAATGTCACTCTGTATTTACCTGTTCATAATCTGATGCCATTCGTGTATCTCTCATCAACTTGGCTGGGAGAAACGACAAGGAATAAGACCAAACCAAGGCATTCTGTGATCAGTGATGTCCAATAGTTGTAAACTCTTAAAACTCATAGCTTGCGTTCATTAGCTCAAATTCTCCCCAAAATAGAACTCCACATTCTCATTGTATAGCCATTGTTTATTTCTTTGATGAATATTTAGCCACATTTATATTCACCCTTAGTTAGTTAATAAATTTCACTGTAAACACAGGAATTTTGTGTGTGTATTGCTTAACTCCAAGTCCCTGTCACGAGAATTTACCCCTTCGTGATGAGACTGACTGATTGATTTAGGATAATTGAGCGATTATTAACTAACTGATCACTAGTGGATAATTGTATAATTATTAAAACGCTACTCAGAGGTCCGGAGACTCTGGGTGAATTAAATCTCCGGTGGTGCCCCGCGAAACGAGAGCTGTATGAATTAATATTCTCTGAATATTAAAATTCATAATTTGTATTAATCCTCATAAGTAGACATGCTACACCATAAAATCCTGTTTAATGTGTTATCTGTATGTGTTAGGCAATTAATTGTTCTTTAAATAGGCTTGTTGACCTTTTCTTTAAAAAAGACAAATACAGCTTTTATTTGTAGGAGTGCATTGACGGGGAGGAACAAAACAAAAGTCTACTTAAGATTACAGACATCATGAAGCATAAATATTTTTCTTTTAATTTTTCTAACAATTCAAATTGAAATATACGATATGTGTCTGTATAAAGTTGTGTAATTATTTATTTACCATACTATTTCACAAGTTTGGTGTTATTCTTGTTACAAACAAATAGGATAGTTATTCTTGAAATATTCCACTTTTTAACCACCAATTTGACCAGTGTCATATTTATATATAAAAATGGTGGCGCACCAAACATTTCAAAACATAGATACCAGTAAAACAACAATACTCTCTCTTGCAACAAACAGCATGGCTCCACAAAATACTTAACATGAGAGAGAAAGAGAGAGAGACAGGGGAGTGCATTGACACAAGTGTCAGTACCACTGTCATAAACCTAAATTAAAAATTCAATATTTAAGCCAACACAACCAAGCTTAGAACAAATGAGCCTACAGGGCCATAAGCAAACAGCAGTGAGCTAAACACCACTGAAGTCAACAACGACCCGCACAGACAAGGTTTTAGGGATCCAGACCCTTTCTATAGCCGCTTTCCACAGAGATCCCGCAATCAAAACTGAAAGAATGTCTGCCAATATATATCCCATTCCCATTCCGTACCTTTCATACAGTGCAGCGAGCCAGAAAATTGGCCTAATAATCCCGAATAATAAGGCAGTGTGAAAGTGGCTATATGACAACAACCGTAATCCGTAGCCTAGTCTCAACCGATCCAGCACAACAATTTGCCCATGCAGGGACCAGCAGCAGATTCAGGATGATAAAAGATGCTTTCACTCACCACACCTGAGGCCTCACGTGAGGAGAAAGGCGGAATGATGTTTTTCCTCTGGCCAAACTTCTGGATGACTCTGAAGTTTTTCTAACAATCCGACGGCTCGTTGTGGCCCCCGTATTGTTTGTTGTGCTGCTCAATCGAGCGCCTGTTGGGCAGCGTTGTTTACCCTTCCAAGTAACGTTGAGCCCAGTTTCACAGCATTGTCCGGATGATTCCCGCTGTTCTCATGTTTTGCAATCCTTTCAGAAAGATGAAGATGAAAACAGGCACAGGACGGTCTCCCTCGAAGCATAACGTTAACAGCCGGTGACACACTGCGCTTTCAGGGGCTCCATTGTTCCTAAGACGTTAGCTTGCTGTTAGTGATGGTACTAACCTGTTGCTATCTGCAGACTATTAGCTCTCACACACAGTACAATACACAAAACTGTGTTGCAGTGTGACAGACTTATTATAAACTAGCCATGCTACTAACTGTCTCTGTACATTTATTAAATTACACTTCCTTTCTTCTGCAGCTTGTCGCTACCTCCACAGAAAACACACACATTCGGCACTACACCGGTGTACTCTGATCTGCTCTGTCTGTTAGTCCCGCCCCTAAACCAGTCACAATTTTAGAAACGTGATTGCTATCTACATGGACGAATCGGAGGCCTCTCCTAAAATAAACATCATAGTCTGTCACACCTGAGGGTCAGCGGTTACCCTCTTAAAGTGACAGAGCCTAATATGAGAACACTTGTATGTTGCTATTCACTTTTTAACTCAAACCAAGGGGTTACATAATATATACAGCATATAGCATTTTATGCATATGCTCCTTGCCAGGTGGGGCCACTAGGGTGGCCACCCATTTTCTTAGGGTGGCTGTGGCCCCCCCTGCCCCCCCAACTGATAGCGCCACTGGCTACCAATCCATAAGCTTCAACAGAAACCGTCTCTGCTTTCAGTAAAGAGGCAATTTCATCTTTTTGTAATCACCTTTATTGGTTACACAATAATATACAGTATTAATGATCAATGATGATAACACATGCAAAATTCCTCCATATGACTGGTCCATGCTAGACTCAAATTGGGTAACTTCCCTGTTCCCAAATCCCCCACAGATGGCAGGACCATGGCAGGACCATTGATCTCTGCCTCTCCCGTCCTGCCTTCGTTGTTTTCTGGAGGGGTTTGAGAAAATAGCTCATATGATGTAATAGTGATGTCATCAGAGTTATCTTAGCTTAAAAAGGGAGACTTTACATTAACGAAAGCCTGCATGACAAACCTAGATATGAAATGAGGCTCTAATTAAAACAATCAACTGCTTTAGGAAACCCTAGCAGAAACAGATAAAGTATGCTAGGATGACCAAGACGCGAGGAAATGCCAGCAGATTGTGCTTCATCCAGCCAGAGGGAACGATCACTGACACTTCCGCACTGTGCCCGGTCGCTCTGCTATCTCCCTTCCCTGGCCCTGTACGCCCCATTCCCTCTCCTATTACACCGGCGCCCTGTGAACAGTTGGTGATCGTTCCCTCTGGCTGGATGAATTTTACGCATGATCCATGCACTGCAGCTGGGGGCTCTCCACAGCGCCACGCAACTTTCACTACAGCTGTGTCTTCTTCTGGCAACAATAACAGCAGTCATCTCTGCGCAACACTTGGCGGTTTGCACCTTCCTTTCAAACGTATTAAATATAGATGCTGTTGCACTCACATGAAATTGCGTTTAGGCTTGCTAGATCACATTGCGTATTTCATGTTACCCTTCCATTACTTTGCACAATAAAATAGAAACACCCCAAATTACATATTCATTAAGGCAAAAGTACTAAATGAACAACGGGTACTATCTTGCACTTTTGAAAGACGTCATTCTGTGTGCACACCATTCGTATATCAGCTTACGTGTTAATTCGCTGGTGATATCATGTTTGCACACGTTTTTACTCATGCAGACCTTTAGTAAAACTGGCCTATAGTGCACCAAACAAAAAAACATAAGTCTCATAATACAACAATATGCACATCCATTATTTCAATTGCTAACACTTTCAGCATACTCAATTAGGATTTTACATAGTAAAATTAGCATCGTAGCTAGTGGACATTTCGGTCGCTAATCGTCTTAGCAGAAGTCAATGGAGGTAAACATGGCAAATTAGCATTTTATCAAGTGGACAATTGGCCTGTACTACGAAGGGAGTTCAACCTACTCAGAGTTAACTCTGGGTTATTAAGCAAATTCATGGTACATCCTGCCCTGGCGGTTATGTAGGCTGCTGCAGCCTTGTTGTCGGTGCGGACCAGCAAGTGCTCGTTCTGCAGCAGAGGGGTGAAGTGTCAGACGACTTGACCATGGCGGACCAGGCTGTTCATCCACCTGTCTATAGAACAGGAAAAGAGCCACTTAGAGTATGACTCTGAAAGTGGTCAGACCTGCTGATGAGGTACCCTGGTGGCCATGACGTGAGGCCACTCTGCTGCCCCTGTCGCTGTCGCGGGTGGGGGACACCCATCCGCAACCCATAGGGGGCCGCCCCTAAGGGGACGGGACAAAACCCTGCCGCTCCCCCAGTGAGGGGAGGTTGGCGACATGGAAAAAGAACTGCTTGTGACATCGGAACCAGGCTGCATGAAGGCTGTCCAGTCAGCTGCAGCCGGTCCGTACAGTGCGGGTGAAATGTGTGTAACGGCGGCCGCTGGCTCAGCTGAGGCAGCAGCAGGCCAGAACATGCTCACATTTGTCTCATCAGAGAAAGTGCAGCCAGAATATGAACAGTGAACACACAATTACCCCCAAAATGTCACTGGCGCCTCCTGGAACGCAGGCAGGAGGCCAGGGGACAGCGTAGGGAGCTGCGTCTGCAATAGGACAACACCACACACAGGGTTGAATGTGTTTGTACACTGTCCACACAAAGCGTAATGTCCGCTTTCGTGGCCTCTTATGATACAGCCTGCCATCTGTAAACAAGGGGGTACCCCTGGACACACAGAAGGACCGTGTTAGTGAAGAGTGTTCTGTCCACACGAAGCGTCTGCGTGTGGCTCATACAATTTCTGTGAGGAGGGGTGTGTGAGGGGACCTCTGACCGTGAACAGAGAGTGTACTGCTTGTTGCTTTGAGCTCGACCTGCTGGTTAGCCACCTGGCACACAGTGTGGAAAATGTGTGCTTGGTGTGGCTGATTCGGCTGAGGCAGGCACAGACAGCGTCTTTTCAACAACTTCCACAAAGGAGCAAAAACGTAAAACACACAGTCCCGACCCACAGCTTACCAGTCGCCTGCTCTGAGCGACGAAGGTCAGCCAGAAGCAAGCAGTCCAGTTGCTAGATGTCATTAGCCGCAGCTAATGTGGAGTAACGTGGGCACGCAGGGTCTCCTGGTCGGCTGATCCAGGCAGACCGCATGTGAGCGTCATGTTAGCTATCTGTTAGCTTGCCTTGCTGCGGCAACCTAGTAACATCGAGGCCGGCGTCATCGGATGTCGGAACCGGGGAAGCTCGGAGCTGCTCGGAGACCCGTGAATGGGAAGAGTGGAGCCATCTAACTTCCGTCAACAGCAGATCGAGGGCTTCGTCCAGAGAGCGGGTGGACTGCCACACCTCCTCGTCCTGAACGGCAAAGCTGTCCGCCCAGCGTCGCCACTCTTCAGGGGTGCTCCGGTCCAAGGCACGCCTCACAGTGGGGACGGAGATCACCCAGCACGATGTAGCCCGCGTGGCTGACGCCGCACACCCGTCCGGCTGTAGCGGCGTCTCGCCCCATTCTGGCCGGCTTGCTGGAAGACATCGTTCTTCTTGTTTTCCGGCTGGAAAGTCTGTTGCTCTTTAGACAAATCTTCTGCTCTTTAGACAGCTCAGTGCTAAAGAAAAATGGAAGTCGAAGGCTGGGTCTCACCGTTGTATATATATATATACACATACATATAAGGTGTGGACGTAGGAGAGGCCCATGCTGTGGATCTCTCGGTTTCTGATGGCTGTCCTTTCTGTGGGCTGGTGGAAACCATCTTTCATTGTTTTTTAGACTGCAGCAGACTGGGGAACTTTTTGGTGTGTTGTTTACTTCCTTTAGTGAAGTGTGGTCTAACACTGCTTTAATTTTGGGAGCAGGTTACAGGAAAACTAATGCAACTAAGTGGCAACTGTTAAATTTCATTGTAGATGTAGTCAAACTGCCCATATACATGACCAAAGAGAACCAGTTAAAAGGAAAGCAGTGTGCAGAATTAGTCCCTGTGTTTACCTCGCTGGTAAAAGACAGAGTTTCATAAGCTAATGAACAGCTTGGATGTGTTTGTACGTCAGTGGTGTTATGTCATTTGTCCAGTGGTAAGTTAAGAAGTCAGTTTTAGTCGTGTTTTTAGGTAATTTTATGGGTTTATTTTTATTTTGTCTTGTCAACAGTTTGATTCTTTGACTTTTTGTGTCTGTGAATAAGTGAAGTTTTAGTAAAGTTCAGTTTAACAAGTAAAAAAAAACTCTCTCTCTCTCTCTCTCTCTCTCTCTCTCTCTCTCTCTCTCTCTCTCTCAGCACTGGCTAACTGAGTTGGAGATCTTCGCCATAATTTTTGCAGCTGCCATCCATGACTATGAACATACAGGGACCACCAATAACTTCCATATTCAGACCAGGTAATTTCCAGGACAGCTTAGAATAATCTTCCATACTTAGAAAGTGAAGAGGTATATGTAGGGTAAACAGTAAAAAGTTGTATTGTAAATATATTGATGTTTTATATTCATCTTTGTAATCACTAGTCAGTTTTCATACATTTTTATAATTCTAGCTGTGTGTCATTTGCAGGTCAGACACAGCCATGTTGTACAATGACCGAGCTGTTCAGGAGAACCACCATGTCAGCTCTGCCTATCGCCTTCTACAGGATGATGAAGAAATTAATATCCTCTCTAATCTTTCCAAAGATGACTGGAGGTGAGAGCAAGGGAATGTACATTTTGTTTGAACTTTACCGGCTATAATACAGGACTAAAAAGGGCAGCTCTGTGAGGCTGGAACCAGTCAATCAGACAACAGTTTATTTCACTATTCATAAACAAGAAAAAAAGCTTTAAAACTGTTGTTGCAGGGCTGAATGCTAACTCTGTCATTTACAGTCAAAGCCCAGTCTGCTCCCTTTGGGTGCTGCTGCTGATGGAAAAGATGTCTGATGGAGCTGACACATGAGTCTCAAAGTTTTAAATCGACGTGCACCACTGTGCTGATTGTAGGCACTTCCAAATGGCACAAAGCCATTCACCAAATTTTAAAAAGCATCTAGCCAATCCTGCTGTCTGACCAAGGGTCTTGGTCAGACTGCAGGATTGCGCTGCGACTGATCTGATGCATCACGGCAGATAACATTGAACTCAAGTTTATCACTGCAAACTTTTGTTAAAATTTGAGTTCATTGTAGGTCTGAACAACAAAAGCCCCACACACAACTTTATTTATTTATTAGAGAGAGTTTTCTTTCTTTAATTTCTTCCATCAACTTTTATTATGGAGACAATTAAAGTCAGAGAGAGTCGGAGAGTCTGTCTACAAGAAACACGTTTTACATCATTTATCATCATTTCTATTCAGTCACGTGAGATCATTCCTGTGTTTAGTCCAAATAGACAACAATAAAACATAGTAAACATGTAGCCTAAGGAGTTGGACAAGTCACTAAACTGCACTAAAGTCTCTAATGAAGCAAGAAAAGGGAAATAAAGCCTGCACATCCAGCCATCTCACCGACATCTTATGAAAGCAGCCGGCGGCTCCGCGAGTAAAATCAGCTGATGAAAGTATGAATGAAAAAAATGTTGGATTGATATGATGGAATGATCAATCAGTGACGAGTGATGTGACTCTCAACTGTATGCAGTAGTGTTATAGGATATCAGAAGAGGAAATAAACAGAAAGCCTAAAACTGAGCGTCAGCTTTGATTTGAGATCCATCATTTAAATTTCCCCTGAAACATTTAGCCTAATAAATCCAAAGACACCATGATCATATTCTGAGTTATTCAATAACGTATTCCCAATTAGAATCAAATATAAATGCAGATAATATAAGCATTGTGTCAGTAGAAATGATCCGGAACGGATGTCTCTTCATGTGACGTTTCGGAGGAAAGGATGTATGTCTCTAAAAACATATTTCCTCGCTCTTGAAGTAAAGTGAGGAAAGTGAGTGAGGGAAACGTGGATGCAATTAAGAGACTTGAGAAGCCCCCCAAGTGCGGCTGTCCTGTGTGTTAACCTACAACAGGTACACAGACTAGCTTTTCTGTCGGAGATGGAGATCAGACTGAGATCAACAGTGAACTGATGCGGCTGAGCTAGGTTTTTCATTAAGGGCTGGGCGGTGAGAGAGATGGACAGAGCTTGAAGGCTGTGGTCTCACGCCATGAACTTTAATGAACTTTGAATTTTAAACTCAGAGGTTCATTTAAACCAAAGCATTGAAAGTTTGACCTTACGATGGTGAAAAGTTAAGAAATCTATCTATCCGACAGTTGTTTAGGTATTTCACTTTTATACACTCTTTAAGAGAACTGCGGACTCTAGTAGTGGAGATGGTGTTGGCTACAGACATGTCCTGCCACTTCCAGCAGCTCAAAGCCATGAAGACCTTCCTGCAGCAGCCTGACGCGTGAGTAGTGCCACCCAACTTATAAACAGCTCTCAGGTCCTTCACAAGTACACTGTAGGGTTGCAGACGTTACATTTTGCAGGTGAATAAAATTTTTTTAGCTGAATACAGCCTGATCTGACTTTCTCCACTAACTGAGTGAAAGTTCTCCATTTATAAAGATTGCTATGCAGTGCGACCACTCAAAGCGCTTTTTACACTAAATCGCATTCACCTTTCACACACTGAGCCTAAGTGCTCAAACGGAAACACACACATTCACACACTGATGGAACAGCCATCATGGGCAATTCAGGGTTCACTATCTTGCACATACACTTCAACATGTAGCTTGGAAGAGCTGGGGCTTGAACTGCCTATTTATTAATGGGCAACCCTCTTTACTTCCTAAGCCACAGCCACTCCAAAAAAGTAGCCTAAATGCCCAAGTGTCTGGATTTATAGAAAAATAAAGCTCAGTCAGTGATGAAAAAACACAGATAAAATATAACACACACGTTATTGGCTACACCTTCATAGTTAGATGTGCATAATGTTTAACGTCAAAATTAAATTAAATGTGAGGGGAATCATTATAGGTATGATTATGCCTAAAGATTTAAGGCAACTCAAAAGTTGTCAATTTAATTACACATTTTTTCATTTAGTTTAGCCTTGACCACAAGTAACGGTGCATTCAGGGAATGCAGTGATCTAGTAGGGTACAATGAGCTCCATATGTATTTTTATCTTGTACTTTTATCAGCCTCTTGCTTGGTCACTCTCTCTTTCTCTTCCTCACTTCCTCGGTCTCTTTGCAGCCTATGTTTTGATATCCAAACTGACAATGCTGAGCTAGCTCCTTCCAAATATAAAGGACAACATGGTTTTATTTGAGTTTATTTTAATACTTTCTTTAAAAAACAGCATTTGTTTATTATGTTTTCTTTTGCAGAAATATGTTAAATATGACCACTATAGGAGTTCAAGTATGTCTGAGTCTTGTTCATAAGTGAGGGCAAAACAGAGATGGACAGGCGGATTGGTGCGGCGTCAGCAGTGACTGCTGGACTGTATTTGCAGGATTGACAAACCGAAGGCCTTATCCCTGCTGCTGCACACTGCTGACATCAGCCACCCTGCCAAACGCTGGGACCTCCATCACCGCTGGACCAGATCCCTGCTGGAAGAGTTCTTCAGACAGGTAGTCACCAAAAAACATGTCACCTGCTTTACTGGTCTGGGGCTTGTTAATAAAGGGAAATTAGTGGGTTAGCAAGCTAACATTGCTCAGGCTTCCTATTAATAATTTAAATCAGTGTGCTGACTTTTACATATGCTGTAGCGCAACTTGTTCTGCACTGAGGATAAGATCAATTCAAATAAGCTGACCAATCACAGGAAAAACTGAGTTGTTATTTCTACAGGATCCCGGTATAATATAATACATACTAGCATGTTATATGATATTATATATGATATTAAGAAAAGCAAAACTAAAGTAAATTAAAGCTGCAAGCAGCGTTGGGCGGGCCCTCGCACTTGTAGCACGTCGGGGTGTGAGCCGGCTGCGTTGCATATTCTGGAGCTCTGCCGGTGTGGCTGTGAATTTGCTACGCGGTTCCAACGCCGCATGAAGGTGTTATATGTCACTTCCTGTATCCCTTTTGTGGCGCAACATAGCACTTGGCGCTATGAATATAAATCAATATTAGCGTGTAGATATGTTCAGGGCAGGACAGTTATCAAGCACGTAACGTTTGGTTCAGATGTGAGGATGTACACTGAAGTTACAACAACTTCAATTTACCATACAGAATTGAATACGAGTGCACTCCAGATTTAGCTGCATAAATACAAAGGAAGAATAAAACAGACAAAAATATTAAAACACACACATAAATAAATACATTGTACATACATACAAAAAAAAAAAAAAATATATATATATATATATATATAATCTTAGCAAATTCAATAGGGACCTCGCACGGTTGTGCTCGGGCCCTAATAATCTTAGCAAATTCAATAGGGACCTCACACGGTCGTGCTCGGGCCCTAATTAAAGCTGCAAGCAGCGTTGGGCGGGCCCTTGCACTTGTAGCGCGTCCGGGTGTGAGCCGGCCGAGTTGCACATTCTGGAGTTCTGCCGGTGCGGCTGTGAATTTGCTACGCGGTTCCGAAGCCACATGAAGGTGCTATATGTCACTTCCTGTGTCCCCTATGTGGAGCTACATAGCACTTGCCGCTATGAATATAAATCGGTATTGGTGTGTAGATGTCTTCGGGGTGGGACAGTTATCAAGCACATAAAGTTTGGTTCAGATGTGAGCATGTACACTGAAGTTACAACAACTTCCTGTGTCATGGCGAAGAGTTGATCTTTGACGCCACGCCACGGACACGCCCATTGAGGAAAACTCGCAAATAGCACAACTTTTCATCTTCAATGCCTTTAGAAGGCACAGCAGAAATTTGAGGTCGGTCGGACTAAATCCCTAGGAGGAGTTAGTTAAAGTATGAAGTGTGTAAATCATCCAAAATTTGACATAAAATTCAAAATGGCCGACTTCCTGTTGGGTTTAGGCTATGGCTCCAAGAGACTTTTTTGCAAATTTTGGTGAGTTTTCGAGTATGTTTAGGCCATGTCAATTGAGCCTACTTTGCAGGAAAAAAAAAAAATAAATAATATATATATATATACAATCTTAGCAAATTCATTAGGGACCTCGCACAGTCGTGCTCGGGCCCTAATGATGGAATAAAGTAATGAAACTGTGCTGACAGTATATTGCCGTGTTGAATTTATTTTCAGGGTGATAAAGAAGCAAAGCTGGGTCTACCTTTCTCCCCTCTCTGTGACCGCAAATCCACCATGGTGGCCCAGTCCCAGATTGGTAAGGTACACAAATACAACTAATGCTTCTCAGTGTGGGATTTGCTTTAGTATGTTTAACACTGCAATTCCAGTCAACTTATATTTTGTCCCCATAGTGATTATATGTAGCATATCTTCGTATGATTTTTAATACAAATTATGAATATTAATATTTCAGAATATTAATTCAAAAATCCTCGTTAGGGCACCACCTAAAGATTTGCTGTCCGCCCAAGGCTTTAGGAACCTCAAGTATAGCTGAATAATTATATCATTATTTCCTAGTGATCGGTTAGTAGTAATTGTTTAATTATCTTGAATCAATCTAATCAGTCAATCACATATCGAAGGCGTAAATCCTCCGTTACAGTGACCTGGAGCTAAACAATCCACACACAGTTCCTGTGATTACAGTGAAATTTATTAACTAACTAAAAGGTGGATATAAATATAGTTAAATATACATCAAAGAAATAACCAATGGCTAAACAGACATGATGCAAACAATGAGAATGTAGTGGAGTTCAATGTAAATTGAGTTGTTCTATTGTGGGGAGAATTTGATTCATAAGGAGCAAGATAATTAATAAGCGCATGTTATGATAATACTAACTTGGTTAAATTTGGCTGGATGTTTTAGGCTGGAATGATTAAGGATTAAAGCTAATGGATTAACAGACTATTGGACATCAACTCAACCACAGAATGCAGGGTTTTAGCCTTACTGCTTGTTGTTTCTCCAGCCAGTTGGTGTTCGGCAGCCTCACGCTGGCTGAGTTTCGTGCGTCCTCGGTTGAGACGGCTTAACAAGCCGTCGGCCGGTCGCTTTCTCTGCCAGGGAATTGCTCCGGGAGGTCCGCCCTTCGACTGGTGACTTAGTTGAAGAAAACTTGCTGTGATGGCTGTTAACCTTGGCTCGGTTCGTGGGTTTTGATGTCCTTTGGGCTGCTGGCGCAACTAACCCACGTAGCTGGGTCCGAACTTCGGGGAAGCAGTAAAAGTTAACTCAACGGAATAAAGTTAAAAAGAACTTAGTCGTACTTGAATTCAAAGTTGCGCAACTGAAACGGTCTGATAACTTTTAATAAAAAAATAAATCTAAATTAAAGCTGCAAGCAGCGTTGGGCGGGCCCTCGCACTTATAGCGGTGCGGCTGTGAATTTGCAACGCGGTACTGACGCCGCATGAAGGTGTTATATGTCACTTCCTGTGTCCCCTATGTGGAGCTACATAGCACTTGCCGCTATGAATATAAATCGGTATTGGTGTGTAGATGTCTGCGGGGTGGGACAGTTATCAAGCACGTAAAGTTTGTTTCAGATGTGAGCATGTACACTGAACAATAATGTACCCAAACAATAAAATAAATTCCTTTTATATTTCCCTGCCTTGTTGTTTATGTGTACATACAGAGGAAGAATGTGAGAACAGCAACATTTCATCGTTACTGTGTGTTAGAGCATGGGAGAACATGGATACTTTTAATACAGCCCACACCCCTAATACTGTGTAACTATAACAAGTAGAGAACAGAAGAAAAAGATGTTCTTTCTTTACAATGTCTGCATAGCTTATTCATATTGTGTAATGAATGAAAATAAATAGGCCTACTAGGCTCCTCTCACTTTGACATTTAAGATTAGCTTGTTTGATCCACCTTCATACACATGTGACATTACTGTACAACTTGAGAAAGGTGAGTTGTTTTCTGCTCCAGCCTGCCTAAAAGAAAAGCGTTTTTGGGATTAAATGGACTTTATTAGCTGCTGCAGTGCAGGATGAACTCAGAACAGACCCATTTCTCACCTTATTATTCTAAATCATGCAACGAAGAAGAAGAAATGCATAATAAATCCTGGGACAAAATCTGTCCACAAATACTGTACACATGTAGTCTATGAACAAGACTTGTGTTATAGCTGACTTGGGCAGTGAAATGTTTAATTTTTTTAATTCATGTGGTCATAGTTGTCCACAACTCAAATCAGAATATAAGAAGAAATGTTTTATACCACCTCAAGAAGGCTTCCTATCAGAAAGGTAGGAAGGTATTTCAAATGTACAACTGCAGTACTTAAATCTAAGTAAAGTAATTTCCCTGACATTTTTGTGTTACTTTACTTTTAATAGACCCATGTAAGAGGTTTTATACTTCCTGTGAGTATAATCCAATCAATATTTTCATACTGTATATCCGTTGTGTAATTTGATAAATTGTGTTATTGTGATAAATCGCATCTCAGAGAAGACTCTGACTGCAACATGCGTCTTTGTAAAGAGAGAAACGGACAGAAAAAGTCTCAAACTCTGCCTGTCAGCTCGCTCTGCTCCGTTAAAACTGAATTTACCATACAGAATTGAATACGAGTGCACTCCAGATTTAGCTGCAGCCAGCTGACCGTGTGCTTCTCCCTATACCGCAGTTCTGTGTCCATGCATGCAGCAAACTGAAAGCACTGTCTGTCGGAGCGTCTACGTGAAAAGAGAAGGAAGACATTGCTGGTAGTATTGTCTTCAGAGTTGTTAAACACCTCAGCGCACTGAAGGAAGCCATCTGACTGTGTGAGGGGCAAGATCGTTGATGTCTGCAGGCAGAGTAGAGCTCTCCTGTCTGACTGGTCCACCAATAGCAGAGAAGATGACCCCTTGAGACACAGCCCCTCCTCATTTGCATAATGAGGCAGAAATGCATACAAAATTTAAAAAGACAGGCAGAAATAAATACCATGGGAAAATAAATAAGGTAAATAAATACAAAGGAAGAATAAAACAGACAAAAATATTAAAACACACACATAAATAAATACATTAAAAAAATTAAATAAATTGAATAAACAAATAAGGTAATTATAACAAAGGTGAATAAGTAAAGGCACTAATTAAAATATACATTTATGTCTCCTTGTATAATTTAATTACTACCTACATTTATTTATTTACTTTATTTTTTTGTGTATTTAATTGGATGCTTATTTATTTATTGAGCATTTATTTATTTCTGTATTTATTTCTGACTGTGTCAGGATCGGTCCTCCATAGCGGGGTGGGAGAGTTATCAAGCACGTAAAGTTTGGTTCAGATGTTAGCATGTACACTGAAGTTACAACAACTTCCTGTGTCATGGCGAAGACTTGATCTTGACGCCACGCCACGGACACACCCATTGACGAAAACTCGCAAATAGCACAACTTTTCATCTTCAATGCCTTTAGAAGGCACAGCACAAATTTGAAGTCGGTCGGACTAAATCCCTAGGAGGAGTTCGTTAAAGTACGAAGTGTGTAAATCATCCAAAATTTGACGTAAAATTCAAAATGGCCGACTTCCTGTTGATTTTAGGGCATCGCTCCAAGAGGCTTTTTGTGCGTCTGGACAAGATACACGTACCACAGAAAATTCGTGCACGTAGGTGAAACGTGCGGGGGGGCTGCTTCGTTAAAAGTCACTTCCTGTTGCCAGCAGGTGGCGCTATGACTGTGGGTGAATGTCAGCATGTACATGTGTTCAGGGCGGGACTCTCATCCTACATGTACAGTTTGGTGCAGATGTGAGCATGTACACTGAAGTTACGACAACTTCCGTGTCATGGCGAAGAGCTGATCTTTGACGCCACGCCACGGACACGCCCATTGACGAAAACTTGCAAATAGCACAACTTTTCATCTTCAATGCCTTTAGAAGGCACAGCACAAATTTGAGGTCGGTCGGACTAATCCCTAGGAGGAGTTCGTTAAAGTACGAAGTGTGTAAATCATCCAAAATTTGACGTAAAATTCAAAATGGCCGACTTCCTGTTGGGTTTAGGCTATGGCTCCAAGAGACTTTTTTGTGCGTCTGGACAAGATACACGTACCACAGAAAATTCGTGCACGTAGGTGAAACGTGCGGCGGGGGCTGCTTCGTTAAAAGTCACTTCCTGTTGCCAGCAGGTGGCGCTATGACTGTGGGTGAATATCAGCATGTACATGTGTTCAGGGCGGGACTCTCATCCTACATGTACAGTTTGGTCCAGATGTGAGCATGTACACTGAAGTACGACAACTTCCGTGTCATGGCGAAGAGTTGATCTTTGACGCCACGCCACGGACACGCCCATTGACGAAAACTTGCAAATAGCACAACTTTTCATCTTCAATGCCTTTAGAAGGCACAGCAGAAATTTGAGGTCGGTCGGACTAAATCCCTAGGAGGAGTTCGTTAAAGTACGAAGTGTGTAAATCATCCAAAATTTGACGTAAAATTCAAAATGGCCGACTTCCTGTTGGGTTTAGGCTATGGCTCCAAGAGACTTTTTTGTGCGTCTGGACAAGATACACGTACCACAGAAAATTCGTGCACGTAGGTGAAACGTGCGGCGGGGGCTGCTTCGTTAAAGGTCACTTTCTGTTGCCAGCAGGTGGCGCTATGACTGTGGGTGAATGTCGGCATGTACATGTGTTCAGGGCGGGACTCTCATCCTAGATGTACAGTTTGGTCCAGATGTGAGCATGTACACTGAAGTTACAACAACTTCCTGTTTCATAGCGAATCATCGACGCCACGGACACGCCCATTGACGAAAACGCGCAAATAGCACAACTTTTCATCGTCAATGCCTTTAGAAGGCACAGCAGAAATTTGACGTCGATCCGACTAAATCCCTAGGAGGAGTTCGTTAAAGTACGAAGTGTGTAAATCATCCAAAAATGGCCGTAAAATTCAAAATGGCCGACTTCCTGTTGACTTTAGGCTATGGGTTCTTGAGGCTTTTTTGTGCGTCTTGATATGATACATGTCCCCAGAAAATTTCGTACATGTAGGTTGAACGTGAACGAGGGGCTAATTTTTTCCAATTTTCTAGGTGGCGCTAGCGAGTCATTTTGCAACGCCCATGTGCGAAACTTGTAGAATACGAAATTTTTCACCGGTTCTGACATGTTTGCAAATTTTGGTGAGTTTTCGAGTATGTTTAGGCCATGTCATTTGGCCTACTTTGCAGAAAAAAAAAAAAAAAAAAAAAATATAATCCGAGCAAATTCA